CAGTAACAAAGCGTGGTGGCAAAATTCTTAATTGGAATAATTTGAACGATCATCAATTTACAAAAAAACGTTCAAATAAATCAGCTGATGAGTGGCGTTGTCGAATTAGAAGTTGTAATAGTATAATTGTATTAGCTTGTGATGCTTCGACAGTTATTCATCCATCAACAGATCATTCACATACACCAGATCCAATTCAAGCAAAAGTTGATGAATTCAAAAATATATGCAAAAACCGTGCACGAGAAGAAACAACACGAATATCCCAAATTCATAAAGAAGAATTAGTTAAATGTAGTTTAAAATACAATGACGTATCATTTTTAGCATCATATTCAACAATTGATTCATCATTTTATCGTGTACAATTAAGAAATTATCCAAAATTACCAAAATCAGTGTCAGATCTTACGTTAACTGGGAAGTGGAGTACTGATCTTCGTGACAATGTTTTTATTATCAACGATTTACGTGAAAGGGATACATATTTATTGGTATTTGGTTCCAAATGGGGTATTGAATATTTATCAGAAGTTGATACGTGGCATACGGATGGTACATTTAAAACTCGTCCATTATTATTTGCATAATTGTATATTATTCATGGGTATAGAGACGGTTACATGATACCAACAATCTATGCCTTAACATCAGATAAAAGGCGTAAAACATATGAACAAATATTAAGACAATTACTGAACAAGCAAATAAATATGGTATTGTTGTTGATACAGACAGGTGGTTTAACATCGTATTTAGAAGTTGGTGATCCCATATGTACAGAAAGTTCAATTAATTGTTTGCATAGTGCAATTGGCTTAGCACTGATACCATTAAATATCCTTGGTAAAACATGGGCTAATATTATGCCAGAATATACATCAGATGATCCGGCAGTCACAACATTCAATGATTATTTAGCAGATACATATGTTGACGATGACGCTATATTTCCATCATTTATTCAATTATTACTGATCAGCCGAGAACAAATAATCATATCGAAGATTTTCACAATCGATTAAAATAGCATTTTTGCTGTCCATCCACATATTTATGAGTTTATCGAAGCGTTAAAAAAAGAAAATGAATATAATAATTCACGTTATACAGAATCCTTCACGCAAGCAGTCAAACGGAAGAAAGTCTACAATAATTGTGATAATAAATTGAAGGAATATTTTAAAAGATATGAAAATGGTACTTTGTCTGGAACTAAGCCTGCAATTAAATGCGGCAAATGTGTTAATACTGTAAAATTACCTCTGCGTTGTAATTCGTAAATAAAATAATAAATGTAACTTATAAGGTCATGTGTCAATTATTAAATTATATTAATATTGATTAGTATACAGTTGATAGAAAAAAATGAATAGTTATAAAATGAGTAGAATGATAGAAAATGTAAACGGGACGAAACGGAGAGCTAATTAACAAATACGGGACGAAACGAGAATAATCCTTTTGTTGATCATTTCACTACTAATAAAATTGGTGATCAAAACCCATCTTTCCCTTGTAATCTCGTTTGTCTGTAGAATGCCCAAATAAATTGACAAATAAGGTCTCTATGTTGGCGATGAATGCTTCATCGTCGAACTGGAGTGACGGAAAGACAATATCAAGTTCATTCTCTAATGCCAATATCTCCTCAGAACTAAGAACCTGTCTCGAAAAGTTCTTCACCGGTGATACAGAAATCGACTGTAGTTTGATATCAGCTGGTAATGTTTGGAGAGTTCTCAACATTTCTAATTTTTTTGAATGAGTCGGTTGCCAAGCTAATTCGTTTTCTTTCCTCATCTCATTCAGAATTTTCATTATTTTACTAAGAATGAAAGAGGTCATATCATTCTGAATTATTAACTTCTGATTGTTGCATAATCGATAGAATTGCGATAGCTGACGTCTTTTCATTTTTATTTCATTCAATAAAATTGCCCGATAACAGTTGTGTATGGCTGTCCAGTGAGAATGATGAGTTGAAAGAATTATTGATTTATTTCGCCTGTTACGCTTGTTTATGTTCTTTTTCACAGAAAAGAAAAGATAAAATTCTATTGTTCTTTGTACTATTCACACTTGCATTCAGTTTTATTCTCGTGTACAGTGTGTGTAGTCGCACTTTAGTGATCTTTGTTTGATAACGATACTTGACGTATCGAAACATTACATTAATTTTGCAATAAATTATGAATAATAACTTTAGATCTGTGTGTTATGAACCTGATCAGATTTTGCTTCAAAATTGTGCCACTACGGACAGTAAGAGGACACCTCCTATATCCTGATCGGGATATATATCCCGATCGGGATATAGCTATATCCCGATCAGGATATAGAAAAAAAGTAGTATCCCGATCGGGATATAAAACACGAAATTTCGTCGTAAAAACGA